TATATATATATATATATATATATATATATTGAAAAATGAATTTGTAAACAAACCATGTGATCCCTACATGTAGGGTTGTCAAAAAAGCTCGTTGTACGCGAACAGTTCGTGTTCAATTCATTCGATAAGTAAACGAGACGAACGTGAACAATTTTTTTTTCGTTCGATTAGATAAATGAACAAAACACGAACAAGAATATGTTCGTTCGTGTTCGAATCATTATTTTTTAAAATATAAAATAAATTAAAATGATTTTATATAAAAAATTTATGATATTTTAAAAAATTAAATTTTATAAATTATAATATATAAGAAATTAATAATAATAATATATTAATATACTATATTAGCAATATACTAATATAGCTATTATATATTTATATAATATAGTTATATAATTAATAAAATATATTATTTATATATATATATTAATATTATGGATGTTAACTGGTTTCGCGAACAGCTCGTGTTCGGCTTGTTCGTTAAGAAACGAACACAAACAGTGACTTCACGAATAATTTCAAACACGAGTTCTGTTCAAACAAACTAAATTTCAAACAAACTAAATTTCAAACGAACTGAATACTAACACAAGCTCTGTTCGTTCGTGTTCAGTTTGTTTACACCCATTCCTAAATGTTTACATAATTAATATTTATTTTCAATTTTCTACATTAAAAAAAACAATGTGTAAACTTTATTTTCATAAAATTTGAAGTTTTGAAGCTTGAAAGTGCAATATTTTCATATGTAGAAAAAAAAATCCTTTTAAAAATATTTAATATATATATTATTTAAACGCACACACATATAGACATAACGAAGATAATAATTTCTCATATATTGTTGTATGTTAAAAACCAAAATTTTAAATAAAAACAATTCTTTTTATATGCTATGTTTAAAATCAAGTACCATGAAATCAACATGTTGTGTATGCTGATGATAATTTAAATGTTAAAAATAGAAAATCAAATATTTTTTTTTGTCATGAAATGAAAAAAAAAAAAAAATTAAGTATACTTCGTGTGTGATAAATAATTTCTCTATGCTATATTTAAAAATCAAATAAATTTTGTGTGTAAAAATAAAAAAATTAAAAAGCTTTTAGGTAAGAAAATAAATGTTTATGCATGTCATTCAAAAGAAATTTTTTGTAAGTGTATTGTCTAAAAAAAATTAACAAATGAATTATTTAAGGGTATTGTATAGAAACATAATGAAATAAGTCTCTTTATGTGCTATATTTAAAATTTATGTATTAATGTGTGAGAAAATAAATTTTAAGTGTGTATGTCTATTATTGTGATATTTAAATTATAATTATTTTGTAACTAACTTTTAAGAATTTCACATAAGAGGTTGAAATTTAAAGAATGATGAAAATTTTAACCATATTTTTCTTTTTAGATAGAAAATAAATATTCAACATCTTAGTCATGGAATTATGCAAGAAATGTAAGGTGTGTATTTAAATTCAATAGAATAAATTAAGAAAATAAAACTTTCCAAAAAAAAATTAATAATAACAACATAACCTTGCAAAATATATATTTAATCTTTCAAACTCCAAAACTCACTAAGGGTCTGTTTAGGGC